ACGGTGGTTTTCCTTGAGGCTTCGTTTGGCTGCTGGCTGGGCTTTCTGCCTTTGGCTCAGAGGGGCTCAGAAGTTGAACATACCTGTGCTGAGTGCTTGGATCGGAATCGGATGGCTACATCATCGACGGCCCACTCACCCTTGCAGGCGAAAAGGTCTGTCTGGAGCGGGGGCACATGGTGGGGGAAAAGGAAAGGCGATCTCGTGGGAGGGGAGGCTTTTGAATTTGTTTTGGAGGCTCCTTTGATTGACTTATGGGGGGAAAGAAAGGAGCTGGTTGACTAAAATGGTGGGTGACTGGTAATCTCGTGGCAATAAAGTTGTGGCCTTTTCTTGCCCATTAACCTTATATCACGTGTCCTTGTGTATTTATTTCACATCGCGGGGGTCGGGTCCTCGAACCACAACTATGGACTGGCAGCAGCTCAGCACATAAACCCAGCTCACTATTATCCGCTGGACTGGCAGCAGCTATATCACTCAGCTTAGTTGCTTATTGGCAATAGCAGCAGCTCCACTGGTTAACCTAGTTCAGTATCGTCTACACTGACTGCCAGCAATTCTTACGTATTACCAACACCAACTGGCAGAAGCTCCATTGATTAATCTAGTTCATTATCATCTACACTGACTGGCAACAGCTCTCAAGATCAACCCGAATTCAGCATTGCCAACACTGGCTGGCAACAGATCCACTGGTTAACTTAGTTCAGTATTGTCTTGCACTGACTGGCAGCCACATTTTAAAAGGGCATAGGATGTCAATCAGATCAACCAAAGGCCTGGTTAAAAAAGAACGCCTTTGCCTAGCGCCTAAAGGTGTATAATGAAGGCGCCAGGTGAACTTCCCTGGGGGGAGGACCTGAGGGAAGACTTCCTGCTCCATTGGCTCTACTCCACGGCCCAGCCCATGTCCTGGCCTGCACCCCCATTGGCCAATCTGGGATGCAGGCTAGGATCTGGTGTCTGATAGGCCCTCTCTGACTCGGGCTCTGGGGATCAGGGCCTCTGCTGTCCTGCAACGATGATGCACCTGAAAGGATGAGCATACTTCTCTTTCTAAAACTGACGTTCGGAAGTCTACATTTCTATAAATCATTCATCTGAATATTCAGATATGTGCTATCTGAATATTTTAAATGTTACGACTCTTTCAACCTGCAGTCCAAGTACTTTCATTATCACTGTACAAACACGTTATTTACCAGGTACTTAGGATGAAATATATATTGTCCAACCTAGAGCTGAATAGGCCAATATTTGAGATGTGTAGAAAATTGCCACCACCACATCATAGGATAGGTTTTTCCTTGTGTAATACTGAGTCAGACATCTTTGACTATGTGCCACTTGGAGTGGGGTGACCCGGTGACCCCATCATGTGATCTATCAGTGATCTATCATGTGATCTAACAGTATGTGGATGGGTCATACAAGCTGTGAAACTCAACGGTGTGCAATATCAGAGACATATTGATGTGACAGAACACATGAGTGATTCACCTGAATTGAGCTAGTCTGCCCTCTCCCTCTTTCTCTGTGGAGGGGTCAGTAGTCTATAAAAAAAAACCCAAATATGAGGTCCAACATCTTTTCACAACAAGAGGACTATACAAAGAGCAGGTTGCATATATCAAGGGCCTGCTCATATCATTTTAGCTGTCATGGCTTACCCCGAAGAAAATTGGGAAATGTAGTCTTGAAAACTACTAGGAATCAAAGGAATCGGCGAGGGGTTCCCTAAAAACTCTCAGCATCCTTAACCAACTACAGTCCCCAGGATTTTTTTGGGAGAAGCTATGTGATGTACGAGTGCTTTAAATGTATGGTATGGATGCAACCTGCAGAAACCCAGCCAGATGGGCGGGGTATAAATAATAAATTATAATTATTATTAGGATTAATTGTACCAAATAATCATTTTGGACTTGGGTGATATGTCATGATAGCAACCCTGTGACTCACTTGAGGAAAGTTATACATGTTTGTATATCTGGTTGGCACAAATAATCTGTGGGTTAACACGTAATTACATATGTTAGCATGGCTAATTTAAGAGTTAACTCGCAGATTCACTGGGTAACAATTTATTACTTTTTGACTGTTGTCTAGATTTCTACAACTGATTTAGGGTATTTTTGCACTGCTGAATCAGGAAATGGCATCCGTTTCTCTCCATCAGGTCAGGTTTACTGTAAACTGAATGGTGGGCATTGATAAAGGTACATGTAAATTGCATGTTGCTTCACCATTTTTCAAACTTCAGGGCTTGAACTTCCGTTTCTTGGAACTCCTGGAATGCTCAGTGGCAGGGAGGTCTCTCTTCAGAGCCCAACAATAGTCAGCCATCATGACTGCGTCCCAGTGACCCTGATACCTGGTCTCCATTTCTTTTATGTCCTGATCGAATCTCTCCCCCTGCTCGTCACTCATTGAACCCAGGTTCTCAGGAAACCGGTCCATATGTGAAAATAGGTAGTGCATCTTGACGCTCATGTTGCAGCCCAGGTTTCTGAATGCAGTCAGCATGTTGTTGACAAGTTCTGCGTAGTTTCTGGCCTTATTGTTGCCAAGAATTCTGTCTCTGTCCACCAGAGGGTCGTTGATGACGTTCCTTTCTTTGCAAGGCACCAATTCCTCCTGCACAGGCCAGTCCTTCTTCGTGTAATGCTGAGCACGGTCCCTACTATCCCACATGCACAGAAAACATGGGTACTTGGTGAAGCCAGACTGTTGTCCCAACAAAAAGTTCACCATCTTCAGGTCAACACAAATAAACTACATATGCTGATCATAACCAATTTTCTCCAGCACATACTTCACCGCTTCATAGTTCTCCTTCAGTGTACTCGAGTGAGCCAGGGGTATAGAGGCAAACTGGTTGCCGTTGTGTAGCAGAACACATTTCAGTGATCGCTTGCTGCTGTCAATGAACAGTCTCCAATCTTTGGGTTCGTACTGTGGCACTCCAAGCTTGAGCAGAAGCTGTGCAATATCTGCACAGTACACCAAGTCCTTCTCTTCCGAGAAAAAACAGAGATACTCTTGATGCCTGTTGCGGAAGAAGCTGATGTGAGCACTGTCAGAGAGGAGGTTTTTTCCCTTCAATCTGGATGCCAACAGTTCGGCAGAGTCCTTTGACAAGCTGAGGTCGCGAACTAGATCATTCAACTCCTTTTGGGAAAATGGATGTGGAGCATCATCTTCAAAAACCACTTCTTCCTCTTCATGTCCTTCAACACTGGAGGCACCTTTGTCACTAATGTCAGGAAGTTCTCCGAAAATAGGCACTGGAATTTCATCACAATGAGCTACAGGACAACGTGCTGATTGAAGATCAGGATACTTGAGGCTGCTCCGGTTCTTTCGGTTGATCGCAGCCACACCAATTTATGGAAGATTTCGAGGTTTTAGGACTTCAAACTGATCCCTTTTCGACATAATTACCCAGAACTATCGGATCTGAATACTTCTTGTCATTAAAATAATCATTTTCAATCAAAACAATTATTCGACATGGCATTTTACCCCCACCAACTTCTTCTAAAATGCTCCGCACAAGTGTACATGTGAACAAAAACGTAAAAAAACGACATGTGGCCATAGCTCACAAACTTGACCTGATTGAGCAAAACCAATTGACTTTTGGATTCAGCGCATCAGATTCGTCCTAAATCAACTGAAAAAATGCAGACAACAAATTTGTTGTTGACCAGTGATTTGTGCCAACCAGATATACAAACATGTTGGTCGTGTGTAAAAGAAAAAGGGAAAAAAAATTCTTGTGGTGTAATTTCCTATTACTGCTACGTTAGGAGGAACTGTGGCTTGAAGAGGAAATCTGAGGATTTGTTACAGTCCTGTTCAATAATTGTGACTCGTTGGGGGGGAAAGGCAACATATTTATTTAATAAATGGAATGGACTTCCCTTCCCCCTTAATCCAAGAGCAATTATAAGAGAAATTTATATGCTCCTGTCACAAGATACCAATCCATGAAAATTAATCGACCATCCACTTCTAGGCGGCTGATAGGTGATTGTTAGGAACCAGCATAGCTTCTTGCAGCCTGCCAGCTTTGGAATGATTGGCTTTGACAGGTGTGGTTTCTGAATGAAATAAGAAAATTAGGTAGAGGATTCAATGAGGAACTTGCTGTGTTTCATAATGTGGCTTTTATTCATCTCCAGTTTTGAAAGTTTAACTCTTTTGCAACATAATCCCATCCAATGTCTAATCAAAGGTGAGCCTCATTGAGTTCAAGGGGGCTTCTTTCTAGGTAAGGCAATGCAGAATTGCAGCTTTAGACTCTTAAAAGGAAGACTCAGTCTTACAGGGGAAACCAAACCAAACTGGGAGATGCCTGGGTAGGGTGGGGGTTTATGAACTTAGACAAGGGGTGGGAAATCTCAGTCCCAGGGGTCTCCCAGGGGTCTGCCAGGCCTCTCTATATGGCCATCAGAAGGCTCCCCACCTCTGCTTTCCACCCTCCTTGAGTGTTTTTGCCTGGCTAAGGGAGCAGATGGTGTTCATCTCACTTTCAGGCGGAGGGAGCTGGCGTTTGTCCACAGACAGCTTCCAGGTCATGTGGCCAGGATAACTAACCGCTTCTGGCACAACAGAAGACTGTGACAGAAACCAGAGCGCACGGAAAAACCATTTACCTTCCCACCGCAGCGGTACCTTTTTATCTACTTGCACTGGTGTGCTTTCAAACTGCTAGGTTGGCAGGAGCTGGGACAGAGCCACGGGAGCTCACTCCATCACACAGATTCAAACTGCCGACCTTCTGATCAGCAAGCCTAAGAGGCTCAGTAGTTTAGCACCACATGCTGCCTGAATAAACAAGCACACAATCACTGATACGTCCACCCACCATTGTGACGCTCAAAGCAATGAAGATGATGCCTCTCCAGCTGTTGCCATTGACTGTGGGTTTCTTGTGATGTCACAAAAGCCCTTGGCAACTGAGTGGATATAAAGGCAGGCCAAGGTGAAAGCCCTTTTCTATTTCCAGCAGGACACACCTGGCAATGGATGTGACATTCAGCACTGCCCAGGTTTCTTCCACTTGGAGGAGGCAACCTGGTGAATGGAAGGAGGCAATCCTCTGGCAGTGGGATGCTAGGGAGCAATAATAAGGCAAGTTGGCTTGCTTGAAGGCTGCTGGTATCTGTGATTAGAAGGTGGCAGACGTCTCATGATGGACCTAACAGTAGCTTCTGGACAGCTTTCCAGGTCATGTGGCCAGCAGGACTAAACCACTTCTGGAGCAATGGAACACCGTGACGGAAACCAGAGCGCATGGAAATGCCGTTTCCCTTCCCGCCACAGTGGTACCTATTTATCTACTTGCACTGGCTTGCTTTCCAACTGCTAGGTTGGCAGGAGCTGGGACAGAGCAACGGGAGCTCACCCTGTTGCGGGGATTCAAACCTCCGACCTTCCGATTGGCAAGCCCAAGAGGTTCAGTCGTTTAGACCACAGTGCCACCCGCATCCTGTGCCAAAAGTTTGCAGGAAAATGGGATGCTCATGAATAATAAATATCAAGATGAAGGTCTACCAGATCACTGCAAATGTCTGCAAATTTGACATGAAGGCTGTCAGGTTGTGTATCCATCGCAGTGATCAGAGGAAAAATTACTGCTGGGAGGAGAACAGAGAGAAGAAATGCAATAGTGCATCTGCAGCAGGACAACCAGACGTCTTTATCTGCCCCAGCTGCAACTAAACATCTCTCCCCCATATTGGTCTCTACAGCCACAGAAGATGCTGCAACCTTCCAACAGTCTGACTTCACCCCAAAGATTCACTTCCTCATTGTCTCTCGACGCTGATAGATGCCAACAAGAAGATCTTGGAAAAGAGGAGGTGGGGATCTGTCAATCTCACTCTATTCAGGGGTCACCAATGTGAATCCTATGGGCACTCATATGCCTGCAGAGGCCTTCCTTTGAACCTGAAAAATCTTCCCATGGCTCAAGTTTGATCTGAAGGAAGAATTCTGTTGTAGCCAACAGAATAAGTTGTGGTGTGTGTTTCATTGTGGAGAACTATAATATCGAGTTCATCACTTTGTGAATGCTACTGATGTGGCCTACAAAACAGAAGGAAGCCATGCTTAAATGGAACACACATTCTTCTAGTCAATGTAGTGTGTTTTTTCATTCAATTTACAGATGCGGGAAATGCAAAAACCAATTTGAGAGCCACTTGTGAAAATAGCATAAATGTTTATAGATCTAATTCACATTTCACAACCTATAAAAAGAGCTGCATAACTACCTCTGAGATATTAAAGGCTTTCTACCCTTTGCGATATGTTTCTGGCAAAACACAGCAATAAGTATATTGATTTCTGGCTTTCCGAGTTGAGACCTAATGATGAATTCTGATTAGACTCCGTGATTATGTTTATTGCTGTTGTCTAGGGGAAACAGAAAGAAGAGAAAGTTTGCTGAAGGATTCTAAGGACAATGCCTTGATTGCCACTTTTATGAGGGTGCTTCTAATTTGATTGGTTTTCCCTTTAATTTTAATGAAGAAAATGTAACTATCTGTGACCGAATTGATCATTAGGCACCCACATACTGGTAGTGTATCATTAAGATATTCTAATTACATTTTACATTGTGAAGACAGGTTACTCTAAAGCAAGAGTGGGCAATCTTTTTTCTTTCAGGGCCCCATTTTCTTCAAGTCAACGGCTGCAAGCCAGTAGTGGCTGGGGTCGGAGCCAGCAGGTAGAAGCACAATTGGGCAGTGTTCACACTTCCATTTTCTGTGCACTCCCTGTGTTTCTGGGTTTTTAAGCTGTGTTCATACAACGTGTCAGGGAACTGACATCGGAGCGAGAGGCGAAGGGGAGGCTCCTAGATGATGCTGGCGAAGGACCCAGCAGCAGGGGGAGAAACAGCTCAGTAGAGGGGGAAACAAATCAGCACAACACCAGGGATAAAGGGGGGCAGATGGGGGAATCGGAGAGAGGGCTCCAGGACTCTTCACTGGACCTCAGTGAGGAGGGGACAGGTCCTCCGCTACCCACGCCCTCCCTGCGCAGAAGACCCCCGCGCAGTGAGAGGAGGAGGAGACTGGGTGTCAAACAACTTTTGTGTTGGAAGAGGTTCAAGAAACGCCCACTGACGGATTCTGCCAGCGACTGAGGCAGCCACGATGAGAAAGGGCTGTGCAGTCAGAAAGGTTTAACAAGGCTAATTAGCCTAGAGAGGCACCAGTTTACGCACGAGTAACTCATACCCACTACAGCAATCCGTCAGTCCCTGAAAGTTGCTCGTGCGCAGCAGCAGGCAGGCAGCATCATGAGCAAAACCGTGAAGCGAGCGCCCAGGAGGGAGCAGCTGGAGGGCAAACTCTGGTGGAGAGGAACCGAGAGTTGGAGCAGCATGTGGCCATTCTGACGGCACGGCTGGACGAAAGGCGGTCTCAAGATGCACAGGTCAGGCCCACCCCCATAGCAAGGAAGGTACCGGGACTGGTGCACAAATTTGGAGGGAAGCTGCAGGACTATAGTGCGTTCCGAACGGAAATAGAGTACGCATTGGAACTGCAGCATGACGATTTTGGAGACGATGCGGCGTGGGTGGCATATATTGTGGGTCACCTGCAAGATGGGGCCAGGGAATGGATCAGGCCCCTTATGGCGACGCAGAATGCCGCCATGCAGGACCTGAGGAAATTCTTCCAGGCAATGGACGCAATGTTTTCCAGTGATGTACAACAAAGTGTCACTAAGCGGGAACTGATGAGCTGTAAACAGGGGAACCAGTCAGAGACTACTGGTCGCGCTTTGCCATGATAGTTCACCGCCTCGGGTGGCAACTGGACTCTGAACCCATACAAATGTTATTTGAGGAGGGGTTGTCCCCAACGGTTAAGGATGAGCTTTCCCGCGCACCCCACCCACAGGGGATGGATCAGCTGACCAAGGCTGTGCTTGCGATTGGGGTGCGGCAGGAAGCACGGGCCCAGGAGAGGCGGGAAGGGAGAGAGCCACCCTGGCTTCTTTAGGCACCTTCCATGTTTCCGTCTCATTGGTATTGCCTGAAGTTGTGCTTTTACTATCTCCCTCTTAACAAACTCCCAGCCATCATGAACTCCCTTTCATTTTAGTATTACTGTCCATGGGATCTCACCCAGCACTTCCCTAAGTTTTATGAAATCGGCTTTTTTAAAGTCAAGAAATTGAGTCCTGGTATGCTTGGCTGCTCCTTTCCGCTGTATAGTAAACTTCAGAAGAGCATGATCACTCGCACCTAATGATCCTTCCACTTCTACCCCACTAACCAGGTCATCAACATTGGTTAGGACCAGATCTAAAATGGCTGTTCCTCTTGTTGCTTCTCCCACTTTCTGGACAATGAAGTTGTCTGCAAGGCCAGTGAGGAATCTGTTTGACCTTATGCTCTTGGCTGAGTTTGACATCCAACAAATATCCGGGTAATTGAAGTCCCCCATTACTATTATCTCCTTCCTTTTGCATGCTGGGCCATCTGGTCCAGGAAGGCATCATCTATGTCCTCCGTTTGGCTTGGGGATCTATAGTAAACTCCCACAATGAGGTCACTGTTATTCTTCTCTCCCTTAATTTTGACCCAAATGCTCTCACTTTGGCTTTGAGGTTCTAAATCTTGGATCTCTTCACATGTATACATATCCCTGACATATAACGCCACTCCTCCTCCTTTCTTGTCTGGTCTGTTTCTCTGAAATAGATTGTATCCCTCCATTATTACATTCCAATGGTGGGACTTATCCCACCAGGTTTCAGTGATGCCTATTATGTCATATTTAGTTTGCTGTACCAAGAGCTCAAGCTCATCTTGTTTATTTCCCATGCTTTGCGCATTAGTGTACAGACACTGAAGTCCATTAATCATATCCCCGTGACTCTTATTTAAGGATTTTTTCCTCCCACCACTAGGTCTGCGTGCTGTTTGCTCCATTTGGTCTATGACATTTGGATGATCATCTTCATCAATTGATAGACTCCTACCTTCAGGAGCACTGTCTATTTCTGGGTTAGCGGAGTCTGTAACCTGAAGCGTCTGTAACCTGAGGTACCACTGTACTGCTGTTAAGGAGCATTCTCTTCAGTACATGATGTGGATAGGCTGATGTCAGGGAATGGCCTGGACAGGAGAGCTGGGAAAGGTCCTCTCAGTCTGCTCAGCTCCTCTCAGAAGAAGAGGAGGATTGGGAAGTTTTGCCCCCCCATGTCTCCAGCGGTTTCAGAAGAGTAAGGAGACAGGGCTGCTTCACAGCTGCGTGAAGAAATGCTTAGTTATGAGATAGTGGAAGAGAGGGAGGGAGGAGTTAATGAACAGCCAACCTCGCTGGGACCTCTGGAATGAGACCTCGCTAGGAAGTCTGGAAGATCATCATTCACCAAGGGCTTTTAGGTCCCTATGTATTCAAGAACAAAGGATGGGAAGGAGTAAGACTCCTGGGACTTCCCATAAACTTTCAGGATGTTGTTGTGGATGGAAGAGGAGAGGCTCAGAATAGCCAATGTCTCAGAAACAACAAGAAGTACCAACAAAAGAAGAGTGGCAGATGATGATGGACTTTGCAGAATTGGCGAAGCTGACAGGAAAAATCCAAAACAAGCATGATCAAGTATTCCAAAAGGACCGGAATAAATTTATACAATATTTGAAAGATTATTGTAAGTAATTATCATGACTAGCAGGGTTACCAGAAGACTTGTAATGAGAAGTTTTCTTTGTTGTTTAGTTGTTTAGTTGTGTCCGAGTCTTCGTGACCCCATGGACCAGAGTACTCCTGTCTTCCACTGCCTCCCACAGTTTGGTCAAACTCATGTTGGTAGCTTCGAGAACACTGTCCAACCATCTCGTCCTCTGTCGTCCCCTTCTCCTTGTGCCCTCAATCTTTCCCATCTTTTCCAAGTTTTCTACCTTTCTATATTTATTTAAATTTTGAGCTATTTTGTAATGAGTGTAATTGGAATTGGAAAACGTACAAAATGCAATAATATAAAGGTTAATTTTGAAAGTCGTGAGACAGGAGGGAAGGAAGTCGATATGCTTTAAAGAGTCAGGGAGGTAAAGTGGAGGATAATAATGAAGTGAATATATATTATTAAATGGAAAATAAATAAAGTAGCCAATGTCTCTTTTTGTGTGGAGACATGGATTCTTTGTCTTGTAACCAGATGCCTGAACCAAAAGACTATAAACTGAACTGCTTCTTTTTCTTGCGTCTGATGCTACAGGGGTGGAGAGGATTCTCTATGCCTGACAGCTGCTGTGTGAGTGGTCCTTTCTGTTCTGAAGACCCCCTCTAAATCTTCTTTGGAGGGACCCCTGACCCTATGGAACAGATCTGAGGCACTTGTAGGAAGTACAGGGGAAAAGAAAACCTGTCCCACTGGTGGGCAGGCCCCACTGGAGAAGAAGGAAAAGAGTGCCCCTATTTCATAATGTGTATTTCTTAAAAATAAATTAAATAAATTGATGCATGATGGGATGGAATACATCCAAATTCTTTTTCTCACTCTAGTGCCCACTTTAAAGGAAAATAAGCATGAGATCACCCAGAGTAAAAATGTGAGTGTCTTTTCCCCTCTCATGTAAAAAGTGCTTCCACATCAGCTCCGCGTGATAATATACAGCCTCCAAGCAAACACAGAGCCGTAATTCACTCAAGGGACTCTGCTTCCATTATAAATTGCAAGTGAGCACCACTTGAGCAGGTTTGATGAATGACAGGGAAGCTCCAAATGTGAAGTCAACCATGTATTATAGGGATGACTGAGCATTGTGGCATGAAATAAGAAGAGTCTGCAACCTTCCCACAATCTCTGACCCAGTCACGTCTTACACTTCAGATTCATATGGGCTTGTAAGGCGCCACTTATTCTGAGCACACATATCAAAAGGACATTACAGTGCTCCATGTACCCTCAGAAAGACCCACCTGAGATTTATCCGTGGCCCAGCTTGCTCTTCACTTTTATTTAATATTTTAACCATGAGATGAGATGAGATGTTGTACAGGGCACTGCTTGTGTTTGAACATCTTGTGAGGACTATAATCCATCACTTGGAGATGGCTCATTAGAACGTGAAATGTTAATTTTGTGATGTTATCTTTTGTAAATGATTTGTTATTCGATCATGTCTCAGAAAGAAATTTGTATTACCAGTCAGTAGCTCATTCAGAGATATACTGCACCTTTTCCAGGAGAGACAGGAGATGATTTCACAGGATTATAATCCAGAATATGTATCGTGATGGGGAGATTTGTCCTCATTAAAGAGGGGAAATGGTGTGTGTAATGATCCAAAGAGTTACATACCAACCACATGTAATGTAATATGTCTAATGGTAATTTCTGAACAGGGTCAGAGTTGGTTCCTGGGGAACTGATGGGACATTAGCTTGCCATCAAACACAATATATTGATATTAAAGGGTTTCAGTACTGATAAAGGTTATACAATCCTTAATTTCCACGTATAGGCAACTGAAAATATGAGAACATGCTTTGTTGAGTCAAAAAAAAGCTCCATCTTGACCCACTACCCTGTCTTCGTTATTCATTATTCACATTCATAATTTCATTATGATCAAGAGCAGGACAAAATCAAGGTGGGCAGCCCATGTTGTTTGCATTCCGCATGGCCTCTGGATATGGTGCTTTCATGTTTGGCTGGTAGCCACTGACAGATCTGTCCTCAAGCAGTTGGTGCTGTGTTTCATATTTATGAATCTCAGCACTGCTATGGCTGCAACCCACAAATCTCTCTGGGCTTTTCCTAGATTCTGTGAGACTGCTTTATTACGACAAAGTTAATGGGCCATATATTCCATTTTTGACCACATAATTAATTTATTGACATACATATTTCCTTCATCTTTAAGATAGAGGCTGGAAGGCACCCCTGCACTTTTCTTCCCATACTTCCCCCTGCTCTCCCATTCTTAGACCTGCTCTACGTCTTCAAATCCCTCTCTGCAAAATGCCATTTGCTTTTTATACTTCTTGCTTGTGCACTGAGGCACTGCAGCACTGAAATGTCTTTTGCGTGGACAGGCGGAGTCCCCAGATCCCGAGCGGTCCCGACCGTCATGTGGAATAACGACTCAAGACAACGTGCTATGGGATTAAATTGGCCACAACTTTATTAAATTTCAAATGTGGGTAGACCTTGGCTCAGGCATTGGGCGTTCTCCCTCCCCATTCCCCAGCCGGGGACCTAGGGAGCTTCAGGGTTATCCAGTGTGTGGGGGGGATGGGCTGGCTCTGGAGAACATATGTTCAAGCAGAGATAGCCGCCCCCGTTACGCTGCCGCCGCAGGGGAGAGCAATGATGACCTTTCGGCATACGGTCAAAGCCTCCCTTCAGAAACCCCTTTAACGGGGAACCCTGGTATCACCGCCGCAAAGAGGAAGATGGACTAAAGGATTCCGCCCAAGGCCTGATACCGCCAAAGTTGTGACGTTTTGCTACGGGAAAGGCGAAACCTGCCAATGCAGGGAAATTCCTTTCCGGCCCTTTAACAGCGAACTTAACGTAGCAGCGCCCGCATGCCTGTGAAGAAAAGTTACCTGTAAAACCAATGAAGAAAAGTTAACCTGCAAAGAAGACGTTAACTGAGGGTGGGTAGGGTGGGAGAAGCTCTGGAGCCAAGTGAGGATTCCCAGGTAAGATCCTCCCTCTGTTGTGTGGGCAGGTAATCCCTCCCCTACCTGGCCTGGTCTCCTTGACAACGCTTCCCCCAGGTGGGATTGGACAACTGACTGAGGTAGGCGGAGACCTCCAGGTATCCCACCTGAGGGAAGGCAAAGCCAAGCCTATGCTGATGGGGCCGCTCCAGATCCAGGGCTGTGCACGTCCACGCAAAGGTCGCCCCCTGTTTTAAGCGGGGAGCAGTCATTCTTTCCTCACATCCAAATCTCTTTTGCATCCTTGTTGTTAAGGACAATACATTCAGAATGAGGAACAGAAATACCAAAAGAGCATTAGGAATTAAAATTATTCTGTGAATAATTTGAAAATGTGGGCAGTATCAACAAGGTCATACATTGCCAGAGTAACAACTTCTTCCTCTTCTTCTTCTTCTTCTTCTTCTTCTTCTTCTTCTTCTTCTTCTTTATTGAATTCATATACCGTGCTATACTGTATTTTACTGTATTTTAATATTTTGTTGGAAGCTGCCCAGAGCGGCTGGGGTATAAATAAATTATTATTATTATTATTATTATTATTATTATTATTATTATTCCCAGAGGTCTCAGGGCAGTTCACAGAATAAAATCAAAATATGAAACCACAAAATACATAATCAAAATAAAAACAGCAACTCAATAATCCCCCCCAAAACACACACACACACAATACATTTAAAAAGGCATAGGATGGCAATCAAATCAAGCAAAGGCCTGGTTAAAAAGGAATGTTTTTGCCTGGTGCCTAAAGGTATATAATGAAGGTGCCAGGTGAACTTCTCTGCGGAGAACATGCCACAAACACGGAGCCACTGCAGAGAAGGTCCGTTCTCATGTTGCCAGCCTCCAGACTTCTTGAGGAGGAGGCACACGAAGAAGGGCCCCATCAGGAGCAGGTGATCTCTCACCCATCCAGTCATGGGAACCACCCACTAAAAGTGTTGCAGTCTTATCTGGATTGAGTTTCAGTTTGTTGGCTCTCATCCAGTCCCTTACCAAGGCAAGACACTGGTCCAGCACTTCCACTGCCTCACCTGCAGATGTAAAGGAGAAATCGAGCTGAGTGTCATCAGCATACTGTTGACAATGTACTCCAAACCTCTGGATAACCCCATCCAGCAGTTTCCTGTAGATGTTAAACAAAGTAGGAGATCGATTGAGCCTTGCAGAACCCCATATTGAAGGTTCCACAGGGCTGAAAAGCATTCCCCAAGCAACACCCTCAGGGAACAACCATCTAAGCCACCCACCCCTAGTTCGGAGAGTCGCTTCAGAAGCATATCATGGTTGATGGTATCGAAAGCCGCTGAGGGCTTGAGAAGAATTAACAGGGATCCTTGAACCAAGAAAATGAAAGTCTTGGCTCCTTTCCCAAGGATGTTTCTGTCATTGCAGAGAGAAATGAACAGATCATGATTTACCTTCTTTTGGAACAATAACAAGCAATTGACAAAAGCACGAGCCGTCGCCAGCTACGTGAGATAAAAGGCAACAAAACCTATATGAATGGGCTTGGACGATTCGCCCATAAATCAATCCACAGACTGGTGAGCGGAGACCAAAATAATCAGCAATGAAAGAGTGACAGGTTTATGTTGTGGAAAGTTACATGATGACACTGCCTGAGAAAAATTAACAAATCATAGTCCAAATCCAGGGGTTATGTCAATGCTGCCAACCTAGTTATGGAACAAGTCATCCAGTTACGGAGCAAGCCATCCTGCAAGCTTACCACAGAGTTATCATATGTTATCACTTTCCTCCAGGAGTTGCATGACATCCATCAAACAAATCTTGTATCTCTCCTCATATCCATACCCACAATATTTCCATTTGCCAGTGTTTTTTATCAATTGACTGGGCTGTGAATTAGGTTCCAAGGCTGCTTTGCCAAATCATTAATTGGAGGAGAATGCACTGTGTCACAGACATTAGCAAGAATATAAGATGGTGTCTGGACCATATGCATGGATGGAACTGAACTAATTCTCCATCTTCCCCAAACTCCTCCATCTTGATAGTTTTCCTCACGGGCAAATTTTTCATTTCTGCCACAAATCTAAACACCACAAGCAGAACTGAACTGAAATGAAAATGGCAAGATCCATTTTGGTTCAGCTCTACTTGGAAGTGAAGCAGCATTTCAATCTGTAACTTCCTTTCCACGCTATGCTCCAACCATTTTTATAGAAGCTAGCATTTGAGAAAGGGCGGTTCTGACAATTCCTGGTCTGGGGACATAACAGATCAGGGCCAGCACTTCCATGAGGCAAACTGAGGCAGGTGTCTCAGATGGCAGATGCCAAGAGTCTCCTCCATGGGCACACCTCACCCACTGAAATCATCAGCAGCATCAAACCTTTATTGGCATCACTTACGAACATTCAAAATAAATAGACCAGTGTGATCTCGTTGCCATTTCAACAGTACAGTCATTTGCCAGAGGGAAGAAGAGGCGAGCAATCTATTTCATCTCTGTGGGTCTCCAGCAAGGGCAGGATCCTGTAGCGTACTTCAGCAACGAAACATCAAATAGAGGAACTTAGCTACTGTCTTGGTGAGCTCCTGGTCTCTCCCCATAATAAGAAGCGTATAACCTCAGTCTCTGGTTTCCATGTTGGAATACATAGATGGTCTAAAAATTGTTGGCAAAGATCATCATACATTTTACATTTAA